AAACTAAACAACATTTGCGTGGGCACAACATCCCAATTCTTTACCAAATTTGAATTAAAAATCAAATACAAAAAATAAACACTATGATAAAAATAAGAAAAAATAAAAAGAGACTTAAAATGAGTGAGTGTGCCAGCACCTTTTCGACACCGCCACCTTTGCCGATTTTTAATTATTTTTTAGCATTGATAAATGCCCTGAAAAAATTTACAAATATGTATTTTACATAATCAATAACTCATTAAAAAGTTTTCAAAAAATAATAAAACTTTTTAGGCCCCGAAATAAAATGAAAACAAAAAGTTAAAAGTGAAAAAAAAAAAATAGTGAGTGGGCGAGCACGTTTTGACACCCCTATCTTTGACGATTCTTAATATTTGTTTGGCTTAGCAGAACGGCTTCTAAATTTATAGGCGTGTAGGTTACATCATGGAGAACTCACAAAAACAAATTCAGAAAACAAAATATATTTTTAGACCTCGAAATTGTTTTTGGCGGGGGCCGAACCTGGAGGTGTTTGGCCCCCGAACGGGACCCCGAACGCCCGAACGTTCGAGGGCCAGCCAGGGGGACCACGAGCGATCGGTCAGGGAACCCTATTCTATTTGACGATATATAAATATATATACAGGGTTGTCTGCGTTCGGGACGGGCCGAACGCCCGAACCCGAATGCCCGAACATGCGGGACCCCTTCGGAAGGCGTTCAGTCATTCGGGCCGAACGCAGAAGAAAAAAAAAAACCAGAAAAAAAACAAAATATTTTTAAAACATTTCGAAAAAATATATATTACGGAGAAAACTAAACTAAACAACATTTGTATGGGCACTACATCCAAATTTTTTAGCAAATTTGAATTAAAAATCAAATACAGAAAATAAACACTATCATAAAAATAAAAAAAAATAAAAAGAGAATTAAAATGAGTGAGTGTGCCAGTACCTTTTCGACACCGCCATCTTTGCCGATTTTTAATTATTTTTTGGCATTGACAAATGTCCCAAAAATTTACGGATATGTAGTTTACATAATCAATAACTCATTAAAAATCTTTCAAAAAATAATAATGTTTTTTAGGCCCCGAAATAAAGTAAAAACAAAAAGTTAAAAAAAAATAAAAAAAAATAATGAGTGGGCGAGCACGTTTTGACACCCCCATCTTCGACGATTTTTAACGTTTTGTTGGCTTAGCAGAATGACTTGAAACTTTACAGGCGTGTAGGTTACATTATAGAGAACTCACAAAAAAACAATTCAGAAAAAAAAACTTATTTTTAGGTCCCGAAACAAATTTTGGCGGGGGCCGAACCTTGAGGTGTTTGGCCCCCGAACGGGACCCCGAACGCCCGAACGTTCGGGGTCTAGCCCGGGCCCCCCCGAACGTTCGGTCAGGTAACCCTATATATATATATATATATATATATGTTATATATCGTCACAAACAGAACTGCCCGGTAAACCGTAGGCAGAGAGAGAGAAGAGGACAACAAACGAGGGGCTGTGACAAACTGTTTCGTCGGAGTTTCACCGATTCATCAGGAG